TATAATCGTTGTTCTGGGATTCCTTCGATGCAAAACCGGCATTTTTCATAATTTTTTTGCGTTTTTTACTTTTCACAGTTTGGATTTTGAACTGAAAAATCTGAAAGAATTCTCGAATATGTGCCTCACTAACTGGAATATCTCTGATTTTTTTTCAAAATTTTTCATGCAGCAGGACAAGAGAAATTGGTCAAAATCGTGATTTTCGTTTTTTCTTGGTTACTCCCCCACCCGTCGAGATAGGGACTTGAAACTTGGCACAGATTAGTCTTTTTTGATAACCTATCGAATACATCATCGCAAATCGAAATCGGTTTAAGGGCACTTTTGACCCCCAAACCCGGCTATACCCTTTATAACCATCATCCTCTGGGCTGATCCGATGAGCTACAAAAAGAAAAGTTTTGTACATGCGACTAAACCACACAAAATACAATTTCAGATGTACGTAGGGTGGAGTCAAATAACAGGTACTAACGGGTACAAGGTGGTTCCTTATGAAAAGATAAGAACAAATATGAAATAAAATTTTTTCATTTAAAGCTTAGTATTCGAGACAATCAAGTTTGAAAATCCTATTCGGACGTATGCTGTTGTTACATCGGCCCTGCCGAATGGTGTCCCTTTTCACCGATTTCGCATTGCGCATAGTTAGATTGATAAACTTTTAGGAATGCGCTCGACAAACGATTCGGAAATTGTTTCTCGGGAACCGAATTGTGCGATTTGCGAATCAGCGAAATAGGCGTCAGCATTCAACGCCAGCACATCCGTTGAACTTGGGACCCCTCTCGAATTCAACGGATTCCGAAGCGAAGGTTCTCGAGCCGCGGCTCGTGCCATGCGAGGATCAGCTAATATATAAACCCGCGGACACGGCGTTCTTATTCCGCTGTCAGTACGTTCTCATCGTAGTCATTACCGAAATCTTGTAGTCGCGGACAGGTTAACTTCACGCGTTGTCGTTACCTACGAAAGTCCGACGTATAATCGGTTAAAACCACACCAAATCATTATCGTCAATTGAATACGCCATCAACGTCGCGCTTCAGTCGACAATTACTAATTGTTGTAGTCACGGATAGAGTAATCGTACGCGCCCCGCGTCGTAACCGAGGAAAGTCCGCTGTTAATTAGTAGAGACCCGTGTCGCGAGTGATAGTTGCCGACAAACAGATCCTTGCAACAGCACAGCCCTGGGACCACAGCAGATAGCTGGTACAACCAAACTGTAAGACCGACAAGCGGTAACGTACCTACATAATTGTATACTTGATTTCCAAAACTGATATTGTAATATAAACTCGTTATTTTGTAACAATACATACTTACATGCTAAACCTTGAAAACAATCATTGCAATCCCGAATTGCTCTTTCCCGTAGCGAATACAGTTAAGGTGAGCTTTAGCTCTTTTATTAAAGACGAAGATCCCAAGAATGAGTCCCAGATAAGCTGGGACGTAACACTGTTACGATTGAGTTACAGTTTGTCGAGCATCATATGACACGTATCGTGTTCATAAACAATGCCTACCCAGCATTTAAAAGTTACAGTGTTCAAGGAAAAATACATAATTGCTGATACTGTTGCTAAAACTGACTGCTTAGGCAAATAACTATTAAAAGAAGTCTCAGATATTTGTTTTTAAACACGATACGTGTTATACAATGCTCTACGAACTGTATTTTAGCCGTAATAAATAAAGTTCATACGTACGAATAGGATTTTCAAACTCGATTTTCTCGAAAATTAAGCTTCAAATGAACACATTTTATTCCACATTTTGTTTTTATCTTTTCATAAGGAACCACCTCGTGCCCGCTAGTACATGTTATTCGACCGCACTCTGTATATTTCATGTAAATAACAAAAAATGTTCGCGCTCACCGAATAAAAATGCTGAAAATTTTATATATTTATAACGTGAACTTACTTTTCCTGATGGATTTTTCCTCGGTGGACTCACTCTAGAGGATCCAGGAACTCCTTCCATTGTTTGACTTCAGAACTATTCAAAAACTTGAAAACGCAAAAGAACCTTAACGACACCAGTTATTCGCCTCAAATGGTCGACCTTGGCGTCAGGAATGCCGCGTCAACACAGTACAAGACGCTACGCGCATGCCCGTGGGTGTGGGAGTGGGAATATGAGGGCAAAATTGGTCCTCCAGCGGGTATGGACTCTGGTGACGGCAACTATACTTTCAGAGTCCATCTTTATACTACATTTACAGATATTAATATACTTTTAAACTACTTTTACTTACTATAGTCATAATATTTATATCCCACTTTTACATAATTAACAACCAATGGTGTACATTAGTATAGTTTTCTATTAAAAAAAACTGTTAATTATGATACGAAGCACAATACTCTCATATTAGATAAAATAATTTTTTGGAAAAAAATTTAACCGACTTCGAAAAAGGTGCAGTGAAAGGCATGAAATAATTTCTAGTTAATTTATATGAATACGCACTAGCTCTAGATATAATTGCTTAAAAGTATGGGAAAATGCAGTGAACAGTATGAAATAATTTCTAGTTAATTTATATGAATACGCACTAGCTCTAGATATAATTGCTTAAAAGTATGGGAAAATGCAGTGAAAAGTGTGAAATAATTTCTATTTAAACTTCATTGTTATTCACCGTCGTTTGATAAATTTGGTTAAATTATTCAATACATTAAATTAAATGCAATGCACATTTTTCGGAGGTGGCGCAGATGTAAAAAATTTTTAATTCTGGTTTGGGTTAGCTTTTGGTAGAAGCGGCAATATTGAATGGTGTCAATGTATACATGTTTATTGTCTATGTGGAATTAATAGTTAATGTATATAGTATGTACACGGAAATATAGTTTGAGTAGATTTGGGGCTTTTTTGGAGGGGAGCGATGTTGCGTACCGCTACTTGTGATAGAGATAAATTAATTCCCATGTCACTTCTAGATGGCAGCGGAGACCCGTTTGCCCGTTATTATGGAATGTGAATGAGCTTTTGTGTTTGGAAGTTCTGTTTGAAATTAGTTTAGCGCCAACTACGATTTTCTTGAATTTAAGTTTTTTCGTTTTTTTTTTATTGCATTTTATTTAAAACAATTTGTTAATATACACTCGCATAGCGACCGTTAACTAGTATAGACGTCTATTGTAAAACCTTGTATTTAAAGTAAAGAAATTCAACGTTTGTGTTAAATTAGTTATATTCAAACTGTTACAATAAAGTTAATATTACAATTCTTAATTTATCTTAAATTAACTTATTTCTGACTAAGTCGCACGCAGTTCTAATAATCTTGTCACGTGCGGCGTGAACGCCAGAAAAACCCAGGATGCGCAGGAGCCTGAGCCAGCTTCCGAGTTGACTTCAGCAACAGTTGCGAAAAAGTAGGAAACTTCGGGACAAGAACAGAGAGGGCGATACAACAATTGCAGGAGAGACGAGAACATGGCGATTATTCTAGCATGACTTTTTTCCACGATATTGAATCAAAGAAGCAATATTTTCTAATAATATTTAATGTATTCGTTTTAATGTATTCGTTACACTTTAGCAGATGCGACTACCAGGCCTGATTTTGGAAAAAGTATATGTAAACAAATTTCTTCTATAAAAAAAAATAACGTACTTTTACTATAGAAAAAAAAGAACGTACTTTTATTGTTTATAAATTTTTAAGGCCGAAATTGCAAAATCAGGCCTTGGAGTCGCATCCACCAAAGTGTAACGAATATATTAAAACCAGAATTATTAGAAAATATTGCTTCTTTGCTTCAATATCTTGGAAAAACTTTGTTGCAGTGAAATCTTGATGATTTGTATGGCAATATGGCTGCTTAGCTATCGCGCTTTCCGTTGCGGTGCTGTCGCCGTCTTGTTTGCTGTTATTATATCGTTAGTCTATACACGGTGTTCTACATGGTTTAGACCAGGAATGGCCAACTGTTGCTCCCGGGCCGGTTGGAAAAAAATTATTTTCACGGGCCGGACGAAATATTAAAATTGAAAAATGTTAAGCAAAACACTTATTTCTTTAAGTAAACAAAATTTTATTATTAAAGTTGTTTATGAATAATTATAATTAAATCGGTTAGTATAAGGTCTTCCGAAATTTGAAAATCTTCTGTGATAGCTCTGATAAAAATTAACAACTAACAATAAGCAGTATTTTACATCGCAACTTTCTTCCAGAGCTATTGCATAAAAATTGGCAGATTTTAAATTATTTAATAACTGATTCACGCGACAATTCAAGCGGTAACCAATAGATGCAATGCATGCATTGCAGCAAGAGGTAATCATTTTGAAAAGTGTTTGCAATAAATAAATGTTAACATATGTAAATGTAAATAAATGAGAGGAAAGACGAAAACTCTTTTGTTTCTTTTTTCGCGATTTTTTCGATTTTCTTCCAAATGCATGTACTCATTATAATATTATGTTCACATCAATATTATTTGCAATTCTTATATATTATTTATATAGCAGTGAATAAAAAGAGAAATAAGAAATAGAAATGTCTCGAACCCACGAACTCTAGAACATGAACCAGCGGGGTAACGCCTGCAGCTACAACAACTTCCGTTAAGAACTTCAATGCTTTTGTATATCTAGATTATAGTGGTCTGTAAATGTTTAAAGCCATTTTTTATAAAAACGGCTGGCTAGATACCCCTAATGTTTTGCACTTTTTTTATCCTCATCAGCCCCCATCATTTGAGTCCGGTCTCGTTCAAAAAGCGCTCGTCCAGATCGCGACCTTTCCTTGTAAAGCCCTGGATTTTCTGAACGAGATCGTGACGGAATAGAGACGGAAAAGTTCGTGGAAGATCTCACCGATACCAGTGGTATGTTAGTAAGCGTATTTCTAGAATTATATATTTTGAAATGTCGAAAATCCTTTGAACTACAACTGCACTTTCTCTGGTTTACTTTCTGAAAAATATATATAATTAAAAATAAAAAACGATTAGTAATAAAAACGTATACAATATTTATATAACAAACATTTTTATTTAACTTATATTGTACAAATTTTATAATAAGAATATTCTTATAATTACGCTTATATTACACGAAGTGATAACAGTCCAATCTGAAAAAATATGAAAATTATTTACCGTCAATCTATGAATCTAATTTACTGCATACATCATATTAACATATACATACCTGAAATAATAGAGAAATAGGCTAAGCTGTTCAGTTTATTAGACAATTGAGTGTCTTTCGAAATCCTATATTTGATGCTGCCCCTTCCACCAGACCAGATATAACACCTGGAACAGAAATGAAAAGTACTTATTAATAATTTATATATTTTAAAAATTTCTCCTTGCGAGCAAATGAAATTGTTATAGATCTAAAAAACAAGTTCATTTCTTCGAAGAAGAAAAAGACACACACTCGCAATTACAATGTAGTTATAATATTCATTTGATAAGTCCTAATTTTTTAAGGAAATGAAATGCTTAAAACCATGAAAAAAAACATTTTATTTCCTTCAAAACATTGGACTTTAAAAATGACGCACATACTCATAACCCATTCTTTGAATTAAAAAGGAACACCCGCAAACAATATACATATATATATATATTTTTCATCAAACATGCAAGTTTTCGAGCAAATGAAATTGTTTTTTGCCAAAAAACAAGTTCACTTCTCGCAAGAAATTAATGTAAAGAATTATTAAAATGCCTTTACATAATATTACAATTATTATTTGCATGGTTTATCTTTGACATGCATCTTGCCGTACGTAACAGCACGTTCCGTCAATCCATGCATTTGAACGATCGCCTGTTTAAGCCGTCCCCGACGATAATTATCTTAACCGTTTACGGGTTGACTTAAATATCAAAATAAGAGTGATCGGGTCGATCGTTCGCGAGTAAGGAGATCAAGTCAAAGGTTAGCGAGCTTATTCAAATAGTTTTGCACAAAGTGTATTGTGTTCGTCTTTAAGTCTACAGTTCACCATAATTAATATTTGCAAAGACGGTATACAATAGCTTAGATTAATAATCGAAGCGACGGTTCGAGTCCGAAAAGGTAACGGTCCGAAGCACGGCGTTCGTAAGAGAGAGCGATTACTGGCGATACTAGCGATACGAAAGATAGACAGGTACTAATGTATCGCGGCGTCGGAGACGTCTAACGGTTCGCGATTTTGGAACGCTCTCGAAGTCTTCCGAATCCAGAAAGTTCCCGAAAAACCGCCAACACTCCCTCCGCACTCCCCCCTCGTCCCGGTGGCCAACGGAGCGAGAGACAAGCTAAGCAACGAGCGATATTCAGGCATTAGAATAGTTTACGCGAACATCGCCTTTTCTAAATTTAACAAAAAACGAGTGGTGATAGAAACGCGTTTTTTAATGCAATGTATGATATACTCGTCTATTGAAAAATTTGTTATGTGCTCCCGTGGGCACGTGCTCAGATTGACATTAATTGCGGAGGCGACGTAGCTTTTTACTAATTTTTAAAATTTAATTTTTCTGAAAAATGGTCGAAGAAGTAGTTGGAGATAGCACTGACCTTTCGCATACAGTATATCACTACATCTCTCTCATTTTGCAGAGCTTGGGAACATACAGCACAAGCTTGCATATAAGATTTTACGAAATCTAAATTAATAGTAGTAGGGTCACAATTTTCCAAAACTATATTTTTTGCTACAAGTGACACATCCTTGTTTAACGTTGACGAATCATTTTCATCACGAGAGGCAGGCGTGAAAATGTTCTTTATAGTTAACAGACTAACATTATAATCGCCTTCGCAATTTTATCTTCCTGAATTTTCCAAAGGAAAATCCCTTGTACGGAAATCCTTTGTACGGAATTCATAAATGTCGAGATCCTCTAAATACTCCGTTACAATTTTGAAAGCTTCAAGGTTATGTACCCAATTTACTAATACAATGGGGCGCACTTTATCTCCCGCTTTGTGTTTGATAAAACACAAGTTTCTCCCTCGAAAGCGCTTATAATATACATGGTGCTGAACAACACCCTAGAAAAGATTTTTACGCAATGGCTCACGCTCATTTGTTTTATTTTGTTGGGAACTAATTGTAAGTGTTCCTCCGTCAGCTTTCTTAATGATTTAAAACTGCCAAGACTACGATCGATGTAGTAGGCGATTATAATATCGGACCATTTCGCGATTTTATCTACATCGTCAATGGTATAAACAGCGGCACAACTTTTTGAGTATCCACCATGATGAAACGCTCATGGCCTGACAATCCGCATCGGCGCTGCGTGTCGAAAACTAATTTCTTCACGGTACGTACATTTGTTGGCCCCTGGTCGCAATCTAAAGCAATAACTTTCAATTCAATGCTAGTACATTTCCGAACTATGGCCTTAAATGTACGTGCAATTGTCGGCCATTGTGTGGTAACCTTACAAAAAGAGTATACCACTGTTTGTTTTCACGGTTTCTCTTCGTGTATGGATCTTACCATCCAAACGAGAGCATGGTCAGCAATGTCGGGACATCGATCGAATCCCGAATCTACAAATCCCTCGATTAGATCGAATTTAGTGTTATAATAAAGCCCGGGACTAAGCTTTATTTAATCCAAAGACAACACACAAAATCGTTGGTTGCCATGTTTAAATTTTTGTATCGCGATCTCCATATTGCTGAAGACAATATCGCAAATATCCGGATTTAATTTAATTTTAACGACCAGCTTTCTCAATGTCTCGACACTTGGCAAGATAAATACAGGGTGTCCCAAAAATGTTATAACAACTTTGTCCTTAGCGAAAATGTTGTTTGAGGCTTTGTTAAGTAGTGTGACGGACCTCGCGTGGGCGGCCGGGAAAGCTGCTATTCCACACGCTAGGTCGCACAATTCCCACGGACGAATTTGTTTATAAAAATTTGGGCGCCAGTGCCAAGTGCACGCGTCCGCCACTTTCGTCCTTCCGACTGCTCCAGCGGAGAGCGAAACTCAAGGGAGGTCAAAAGAGGAAATAAACTCTAATCCGCATACGTTTAATCGAATTTCTTTATTCGCGCGAAATCTACGCAGGGAATTCCGCGGTACAATCACCGTGAAGGAAAAGGTTTGGCGACCATGCACCGAAAGGGTATCCGAATAAATGAAACGGGATATCTAAAGAATATCTGACCGGCGCGACTTAATTCTATGGGGGCCTCGCAAACAAGAATCTGCCCTGGAATAAAATACAGTCAAAAGAAAGCGTTATGCCGGGAATTAACGGCTACGTATTTCGAAGGGGCCCTTTCCTTCGAAATGCGACTCACTCTCTAACCGCGTAAGGCCACGCGGGAAACGACCGAAGTATACGGAGGGAACTGCAAAAGGTTCTCGCCTCCGGGGGTGGTCCTGTCGTATGCAAGTGCACCGGAGCACGTCCGCGGCCACACACACACGATCCACTCGCTCACCCACGCGCGCACACAGATGAAAACCCCAACAAGTGGGCCCTACCTGGGTTGTCCTGGCCTTCAGGTACCGAATCGTCCTTCAAGGGGGGGGGGGGGGTTGCAAAGAGGCAGCGACCACTCGCGTGCGCGAAATTGTAAGAAAAGCAAACACTCAAAATTATCGCAAGCGCAAAGGAATAACACAAGACTGGTAAGGCAGGCGTGACGCTCGCGCGATGGTCAACCGTTAATTAGCCTTTGTCCTGCCGTTTTGTCCGAAAAATCGGCGTCGGTCTTTTTCAGCGCTCTTCGTGTCACCGGCTCGCGGCTCTCCCCACCCAGGATCCGGAGGGGCTCCTCTTGGCGTCCGCCATCAACGTCCAGGGTGGATCAAGTCCTGGAATTAGAAACTTTTTTTTTTAATTCATAACTTTTCTTTAGTTCTTGAATGCCCCATATACTATAAATACTATAAATTTTATTTCTATTTTTTTTTCGATATTATAATGCTAATATTCATGATTTAATTTTTAATTTTATTTTTCTCTGTGATTTAGTATCTTCACTGCAATTGTTGGGAGATCGCGGAAGAGTGACCTCAAGGACATGGAAAAGCAGCAGTATAGCGCTATCGTCCATTTGGCTAGGGCGCAGCGATATCTTCATAAGCGCAAGATAGTATTAAGGAAGCGTTTTGAGCATGCTCGAAGGTTGCTTAAAGCACCTGGGGTTTCTAAATGTATTGATGGGTTACCTGAAGTAGTTAAAGATTTTTTCCTTTCGAATGTCCGAAATGTCAGAAAAAATTAATTTCATAGAACATATACATTGAATGATAAGTTATTTTCTCTATCAATACAAAAGCAAAGCCCACGTGCGTATCGGTATCTTTCCAATGTACAGGGTGTCCCAAAAATGTTATAACACCCTGAAATGGGTGGTTCGGGGAGTGATTTGAAACAACTTTGTCCTTAGCGAAAATGTTGTCTGAGGCTTCGTTAAGTAGATATTAACAAAAAACCCCGACCCCGAATCAGAGCACGCGCATACCGTTGGAGCGGCCGTGCTAGCGAAGGCTACGGGCTAAGAGGCCGCGCTCGTACGCGAACAAGGGACCTGATGTGCATCGAAGGAAACTGTGTAGCGTAGCAAATGAAAAAGACGTAACAAATAAAATTAAAGTTTTTTCATGTCTTGTTTGTCATTTAAAGCAAGTAAAGAATAAAAGGTAAATCGAAAAGAATCATGTGTAACGTAAAAAGACGAATGCACAGTTTTCTTTAAGCAAAAGCGAAAATAATTATTCGAACTAAGAAAACAAGGAATACGTAAATTTCATTTTCAAATAACGCATAAACAAATGGGCAATGTAACGGAAAATAATAACTGTTGTTAATAGTAACGTTTGGTAAAGTTTACGTCACATGTTATATATGCATACCCGTTCTTTTCGAAGCTCGCGTTCATTTATTTTATCTACTCCTTGGAATGTGGATTCTTATCAAAATGCACCCTGCAGCTGTACCATACTTTTCTCATAATCATCTTTTAACTCGCATTGCGTGGGTAACCCTTTATCTAAACTTTCCCTAAAGCCCCATAGATGTTCACCTCTGAGTAACGAAAATCTCAACCACCAAATTTCCATATATGGGAATCACTGATGTATCCCCACCAATATCTAGGGGTATATAAACCCATGATTTTCGTTACTCGCAGGATTGGTACGAAAGCGTTACTTGGTAAAGTCACGTCGATCGTCTTCAGAGTTGCACTTCAGTGAGATCGGGCTTCAGATCCCTTTCGATCAAGATTAACCATATAGATCCGCGAGGACGGTACAAAATCTATTACGGCATAGAAGCATTCTCGACCCCCGCATCGCCAGTGCGTTAACACCGTGCAACAATTAGGTATTAAATTCATACACTAACCGCGACAACACGACACTGTACAATTGTATTATTAGAATTATTCAGTTTTGAATATATAATCATTTGTTAACCTTAAAAGGTCTGTTAAATCGTTATTAAACCTTCACCATTGGAATAAGCAATCCTAATCAGTGTAACGACCCCACAACATAATAACTTTACCGCTCGAGTTATTATTTGTTTAGAATTAATAGTTGCGAGGCTTTATTCACGACGCGTATTATATTCTAACGATACGATTCAATCCTTACCTGACGTCCTCAACGGTTACCCTTTACCGGGAGATACCGATCCTACGGTTATCCTTAATTGGGAGATACCAATCTTTCCTTTCTTATTCTTTACCTAACCTCCTCAACGGTTACCCTTTACCGGGAGATACCGATCCTAAGGTTACCCTTAATTGGGA